TTCCTTTATTAATGTTCACATATGTCACCTGGATATGAGAAATACTTCAGCTATTCTAGTGAGACTGTCATGGGTCCTGGTAGAAATGAGGTAACTTCTTCATCCCAAATTACAGAACTCTAACATTAACCATCTAGCATATCTGTCTGCCTAGATATTGAATCTTATTGCAGTCCGCAAGTTGTAACACAAAATAAATTCAATATTTTATATTAGATCTTACATCCAATATTCTCATCTTTGATAAAAAAAAAAACAGCAGAAAAGCAGTTTAAAAGTTCTACGGAAGACATAACTCTCTGTTCTATGATAGTGTGGTCTAAAAATTGTGTTTATCAGGAAATCCAATATATTTAGTCTATGCAATGCTTGTACTGTAAATGTAAAGCTACAAAACAATGCAGAGGACAATAGCTGTGATCCCATGGCCAGAAGTGCTAAGGGAAGAGTCATAAAAAAGTTACAAAACAATACAATAGCAACAGCAAGCATTTAATCTTCAGTAAAAAATACTATTGATATTTCTCCTTCAGACATTTATTGAGTGTCTCCTATGTGTCATTCCCTGTGCTAGGGTACAGAATAAATGAAGAAGTGGGCTTAGAAACCATCTCTGAGGATACATTTGAGAAAGGATAGTTATCGGTGGGCCTCTGGAAATAGTGCCTGAAACAGACATTTCTGTGCTAGTGATTTAAAGCAGTGCTTTCAAGAGAAAACTGAAAGGGGGAGAGGAGCAGGAGAGAGGCGCTAATTAAGGAGGTGTTTTCAGGTGAAATCTAGCCTCTGCCTCATCCTGTGGGGCAACTTGAGTTTTGTCCCCCTCACATCAAATTGACTACTGGACACTGGCATTTTGGGCAAGACAGCTTCTGTTGGCCAATGGCCCTCCTTTAGTAGCAGGAGTCAGGACAGAGTGGTTAGAGACAAGAGACACAAGAACTGTCAAAAGGAATCCTAAGGTACTATTGCCAATAGTATCAGCTATTATAATTCACAGAAGATGGGACAGAAGGTGTGGAAACAAGTAAAATGCATCATTTTACATTTGAGAAAAGAGAAGGGGTGGAGAAATGCACTCCATCTCCTTAGTAGTGGTACAGAATAAATGAAGAAGTGAGCTTAGAAACCATCTCTGAGGATGCATTTGAGAAAGGATAGTTATTGGTGGGCCTCTGGAAATAGTGCCTGAAACAGACAAGGAGAGATGAAGAATGGAGTCTAATAATGCATCTACTATGGCACTCTTACCAATATGTGCCCAAATGTGTTGAGTGACCCCTTAGACAAGCTTGCCTGCAAAGTGGGTAAATCAGCTGACCTCTAAGGTCATTTTCAACTCTTGAACTTTATGATTTTGTATCCTCTTATTACCATGTATTCCTGCATATCAGCAAAATTTTAAGTGCCATGATCTCTGAATAGTATCCTAGAATTAATAATTATACTGAAATTTTAGTGGAATAATAAAGTTTTATGTATCTAGCTGTTAGCCATCCTGGATTTTCCTGGAATCTTGTTTCAACACATTGTCCGATAACTTTGAGTAGTCTCTAATGGGAGCTAAATACATTTAGGAAAAGGGTTAATAATCATACACAGAGTGGGAGTGGGAATTACTAAATTATTAAATGCAGTGGATATTGACTTAACTTCTCAGGGTGAGTCAGGTTTTTTTTTTTTTTTTCCTTTGCTATGATCAGCTACCTCTATAGAAACTATGGAATACCTCAATCTTGCAAAGACATTTTTCTTTTTTAATAGGGAAAGTTATAGTTTCTGATTTCTCCTGTAATATGTTTTTTTGGACTTAGCAGCGAGCCTTGGGGCTTTTTAATTTTAAGGGTCATTATGATCTTGAGAGGATTAGAAGCCTTTAGGTGGCCTAGCCCCATGGTGTGGCTCTGTAAATCCATACTAGAAACTCAGAACATGTTCTGTTACTTCAGTCATCTAATAATTCTGGGAGTGACTTAGTACCCTTTCTGTTGAAACCAGTTAGAATGCATTTTGTTTTCAGTAATTGAACCCTGACTGATAAACTTTTAAGTGGAAATTTAATGATTACTGGGTGTAGAGTATAAGAGGTAGGTAAGTTCTTTTAACTCATACAGTTGAGAAACATTTTTTCCCCCTCTTTGACAGTTAAACATTTATATATTGAATATTACACCTTGGGCAAAAATGTTTTACTGGCTAAAATATGATTAGAAAAATTTTTCACATTTTGCAAAATGTAGAAATTGCTCTCAAAAATACTTGATTACTGGGCCTTCCTTGGTGATGCAGCAGTTGAACGCTGGGCTGCGAAGCTGACCACAGCCTCTGCAGTGCCCGTTCGATCCCTGGCCGCTGGTGAGGGTCTCACAGGGTGCACAGACCTCTCCTGCCCCGCCCGCTGCTCCCCTCAGCAGTATATTTCGTCAGTCTGCTGTTCTGCTCCCTGCTCTGGCTCTGGTGAATTCTTTCACCTTCCCGCACTTCTGAGTGTACCCAGTGCTTGAATGGATAAATGGATAACTCTTTAAAAAAAAAATACTTGATTACCTAAAAATGTTTATTATCTTAATCTGATTGTAAAAATAACATTCACTCAGTAGAAAATCTTTGGAAAACTAGTGACTTTAAGTCTGCTTTTGTTGTTGTTACAAATACCTCCATTTTGCCAAGATGAACTATAAAGTAACCTGCTCATGTGGTACATAATGAGCATCAACTGTCTCTCTCTCTCTCTCTCTCTCTCTTTCTCTCTCTCTCACACACACACATGTTAAATTATCTTTTAATATTTACTTTTTCAGTGACTTGATAATTTTAAATTCTGCATATATTCAAATGTTTAGATTTCTGTTTCCTTATGAAAATTAATTCTTATAATAAGGTTTTTTCCTACCCATAATAGAATATAAAACTTCAGTTAAATTTAGAAAGGGGCATTGCAATTTGCTAGTGAATTATTTACTTTCACTGAATCACCCATAATATTGTATTCTCAGTAATATGATGAAAATAATTCCAGAGAGAATGCTTTTGATACAATATATATTTCAAAGTTATTTTACAAAGGATAATTTGCTTTCCAAATAAAACAAATCTTTAAGCAAAGGCTTTCTCTTTTTAATGAAATAGGGTGATGGGTAAGGGAACAGTCTTCAGCTTTTTTGATTAAAGGTTAAGGAATTATTTTTATTCTTGAAATGTGACACGCTGCATGTCCTTAGAGGATGTCACATAAAATTACAATAGCAAAAATGTGTCATTGTGCTTGGTGCCAGTTACTTGATTTTATTTTAGTAGCATAAGATTTTTTATCTCTTGGGGTGATGATATGCTTGTATTTATATGGACGATCTTCAAAATTTTCTATCTTCACACTTCTGAAGGGTTGTCAACAATTGCTCATCCAACTAAGAAAATACAGAATTGCCCTTGTTTTCTCATAAATAGGAACAACTTGCCCATGGGCAAAAGTAAGGTTACATAATCCAATATCTTGGAAATCAACACAGCAGCTCAAACACTGAGCTCTAGGTCATGTCTATAAGGGTAACTGATAATACGATTAATGTTTTGTTTTTTTAAAAAAAAATATTTATTTATTTTTGTATAGAACTGGAGTGTAGGCCAGAGGTACGGGGTTGGGGAGAGCGATGAGAGGATTCACCAGAGACAGTGGGAGCAGTATGGGCAGATCTACTGAGATACACTGCTAAGGGGAGCAGTGGGAAAGACAGGAGAGGTCTGCTGTACCATGTGGGTTAGTCCCTAGCTAGGGATCAGAACTTAGGCCGTTGTGGTGGGCCTTCAAGGTGGTAGTGCTGAAACTCAACCCCTGGACTACCAGGGAGGTCCTGATATAATGATTAATGTGTATTGCCATAGTGCATGACTTTGTGAAATAATGAACTTTAAAAATTAAATTGCTTCCTAATAGCAATGATGCTAATAATTTACTAAGAAAATTCCATTTTAATTAGGTAGGATAATTAAACTTTTCCAAGTACATTTTTGTTATTCTAATTTTCTCTTTGTAACTCTTGGAAAGGGTATGATATCATTGCCCCTATATTTGAGGTGAGAGTGAAATGTCTAGCAAGTCCTACTAGGCATGGAAAAGTCCAGTGACAGAAAAACAGGAAGGAAAAATAATATAAGCATATTATTTATTGATGTTTAACTTAATGAGTTTTACTCTGCTACAGAATTTTAAATTCACTGACAGAGAAAGAAAAACAAGGTCCAACATGTTAAAAATTATATCTTTATATGTATAGACAGCTTAACTAACTCATATTTAATAAGCATCTATTAGGCACATTTGTATGCAAGAGTGTATGCAGTTACAGTATGGGAATTATCAGAAGTCCATGCATATCTCTTTCTTTTTTTTTTTTTTTTTTTATAATTTTATTGTTATATTCCCCATACAATTGCAGCCCCCCCATTCTGACCCCAATCCTCCCCTCCCCGCCCCCGCCCCCCTAAAAGTGTCTCTGGTTCATAGTTTTTTGTTGATTTTGATTTTCACTTTCTTATAGTTATTCATTTTCCTGGTCCCTTATTTAAGTTTCCTAGATTCCTGCTATGAGTGAGACCATCCGGTATTTTTCTTTTTCTTTTTGGCTTATTTCGCTGAGCATGATCCCTTTCAGCGCCATCCATGTTGCTGCAAATTGCATGTGTTTATCTTTTTTGAATGCTGAGTAATATTCCATGGTATATACATGCATATCTCTTTCAATGTACTTACTCTCTATGTTTATGCCTATCTGGGAAGGGAACATACTTAGGTCAGCTTGGGTTGCAATTAAAAAATACTATAAACTGGGTGACCTAAACAAAAATTCATTTCTTATAATTCTGGAGGCTGGGAAATCCAGGATCAAGATCCTGGGAAGCTTTGTATCTGGTAAGGATCCTTTTTGTGGCTGATAGATCTGCCTCTTGCTTTATCCTCTTGTGGCAGAAAGAAAGAGAACTGTGGTCTTTTCCTCCAACAGAGACACTATCCCCATCAGTCAGTGAGCTCCGGTGACTTCCCATGCCTAGCTGGTCAGAAGAAACAGTTGATTCTGCAGACTGAAGAAATTTAATGTGACTTCTCCAAGTCAACGTAGTACTTTAAGCACAACATATCTGTTACAATCCAGTTTAAATAAAATGACCACTACAAGTTTCCCAGTGTAATGACTCAAAAGATCTCTAGTGGCTCAAGAAAACTTCTGGAATTTGATGGTTAATATAAGGGTCCAACATTGAGTCTTGGTACTTTCTGAAAACTCTGGTTCTGATTCATTCTCTGTATCTTTAGATTTTCAGTCGACTGTGCTCAGACATGTCTTCCTACCAGCTCTAGTTCCAGAGTAAAACTCCAGACCCAGATGATGTGACTGGGGCCATCACATTTGACTTCACTGGGGTTAGGGAGAATAGCTTCAGGGGTAGTAGCCTCAGTCTGAGTCCCATAACTTCCTGATGGTACATACTGTTACCTCTAGGGTCGGAAACTTGGATTTCTCCACTGGTGTTAGTCAGCTGTGCAGGTATAACAGATGTGTTAGTGGCAAAAGGTAGCAGTTCAGTGCAGACATTGACATCAAGATTGGCCATTGCAGTGGAGTGGGGGAATTCATCCATATGTGCATAAAGTATGTAAGAGAGGATTTCTTTAGGGAAGTCTTTTAGCAGATCATCAAGAGGTAGCCTGTCCTTTGGAAGAGAACAGAACAGTCTTGGAAGAGGGTGGCAGGGTCTGAGTCCTAAAGTGAGTGCACTAAGAGTATGCCTTGGGAAATAAAATGGTAGAAATTAATTTAAACACTATATTCTTATCTTTAGATTGAAACTCCCATGGCCATCAGTATACTGCACATGCCATTCTATCACTGTGCCATTATCATCTCAAACTTAGCAAGTTATATACCTGAGCATGCCACTGTCATTCCTGAGGTCCTCTGGCAGAATTCCGTTGGGGAAGTAGGCATCACTCAGAGAGGAGGAGGGCAGTTTTTTATTAATGCCAGCAGGCTCTCAGGATATCATTCTCTAAAATTTGAGCCCTGAGCAATTAGGTAACTGGGTATTTATTGCCTAATGCAGGGGTGCATTATCATTTTAAAGCCAGTTGGGATACAGAAGCAGTAGAATTCTAAGTGGTTATCTGGGATAAGTCAGGTGTGTGGCCTTGAGACCCTTTATCAGTTATTTTCTGAAACTTTCAGTCTACAATGAGGTTTGGTTTAAACATTACTTTCGACATTTTTCATTTCACTGCAAGGGAATATGGAAGCTCCTGTACAAGTGCTAGAGTCATGGATAAAAGAGTATTCTTGAATTGTAATAGGAGCGATGACAAGTCTACTTTTTATTGCTTGTATCTCAGGAACTTCCTTTTCCCATAGCAAACCTAGAGAAAACTGCTCTACTGGTGACACTTACCTAGTTCTCATTATGTATTAGGAATTGTTATAAGGAATTTACATATGGGACCTCATTTAATTTCCTACAACAATTTTAGGGGGCAGTTCTTATTACCACCGCCATTTTTTATATGAGAAAAGTGAGGCAGAGAGGTTAGCTAAGTTGTTCAAGGTCACACAGCTAGATATGATATTGGACAAAAACTATTGGGTGTGCAGTGACCCCAAATTGTTAAGGGAAAAAGCCCATGTTGCCATTATAAGGCATATGCATCAAAGCAAACTTATCAGAGTTCAGTGTGCTTAAAGATTTTTGATTGATGAAGAGTTCAAAGGGGATAAGGATAGAGAAAAGGAGTAGAGGACAAGAAGGCTTTCAAAATATAGACTCCTTATCAAATTCCAAAATCAACCTTCCCATAACTGAACAGGCAGTGCCCACAGCAGAGCAGCCAAGGTCCAAATGCAGAGCTATCCGGAGAACAAACCGCAGCACATCCCACAGCAAGTACAAGGCAGAAGTTAGGCAGAGCCAAAAGGAATGGGAAAGAAGGAGAAAACCAGAGTTCAAAGTGTACCACCCAAGCTGGGTCCACAAGGTCAAGATGGCAGCTGCCATAGTCTCCGAGGGGAGCCAGAATCGTGCAGCTTGCCCAAGTGCTTAAAGTCAGAGATGAGAGAACAAGCCTGCATGCGTCCAGTGATTTGAAGACCATCATAGCCACTGAACTCTGCACTTTGTTCCCAGTGTTCCCCCCCATTCAGGAAATTTGGTTCATGCCATGGTGGGAGTTGTGATTCTGGATATGTGGGAGCTGGGGTTTGGGAAGACATCAGGGGTGTGGTCCTACTGACCAGGCACGATCTGCTGGCCCTGACCCACCTGTCTGCTCTAACAGATGGACAGCTGAAACTACAGCCCATGGCATTAAGCTCTGTGGTCCATGCTTTTTATCACCATAATATATTGCCTTTTGATGTATTAATGGCTAAATCAATTGATATAATTGATTTATATTGCTAAGATGATTAATAGGTATTACTGTTAACCTAAAGGGGTTTTGTGGAGAAATAAGATTAGAAGTGTTGACTTTGTTACGGAGAGCTCAGTGTTTTAAACTGTGATGAGGATGGATGAGTTTGGTAGAATTTCTTCAGACATTCAAGAAAAGTTGATACTAGTTTTTTAAGTGGTCAGCTTTTGTATACTGATGTATTTTGGCCAGAAGGAAGTTTTTAGATGGGCTAAAATTTTGTTTTTTCTGATAGAAAATACTTAAGTCTAACTGATTGCTAATACTATTAATGATAAAATTCTGTAGAAATGAGGATTAGAATTACAGCCAATCTACAAGAAATTCCTTTGTTTCCAACTTTATCTGTGGAGGTTAACTCCATTTCTTAAGGACCAACTTGAGATTTATTGCTCGTGAACTTTATCTTTTTCCTCATTCTGAAGCTTTCTCTTGTCCACTTTTAAAATACAAAACAATTTCAGCTCAGCAGTTTGCATTAAAGCTTTTTCATGTGCTGCCTTGTCAGAGTAGTAAGTTTTGTACGTTGTTTTAAACCCCTCCATTATATCATAAACTCTGAAGTTCAGAAACATGTTTATGCCTCACAGTAAATTCCTACAATATAGGTGGTGGCCCAAGCTCTGGTTTTTGTTCAGTAAATGAAAAGGGATTTTTCAGGCTGATTTGGAAAATACTTTAGGTGGTTTAATTTTTTCAGATAAAAGTGTCCTTTTGTTATATTTTGTTTACTTATTAATGATAACATTAAAAGTTAAATAAGAAAGGTATCTCTAAATAATTTATCAAATGTATCAAATTGTTGGCCATTTTCTCTGTCCTTTCCCATGTCACATATCATTTTTGTATTTTTGATTATAATACAGACATACATTTTATATATTGTAGATTTTATTATTTTAGAGCAGTTTAGGCTCATAGTGAAATTGAGGGGAAAGCACTGAGATTTCCCACATACCCTTCCTCATAGCCTTCCACATTATCAACATAACTCACTAGAGAGGTACATTTGTTAGAACTGATGAACTTTCATTGCACATGACTGCCAGGTTATATTTATTAGCTTCATGGGATTTCATTGACCAGCTGGTTTATAATACGCATATTCTACTAACATTTGAGACCCACTTGGGTCTCTTTTTCCTACTACAGTTAACATAAAATCAAATTGATGTGATTATAATATGCACTAAAAAGGGTTGCAGTATTCATGGCAAGAGGACAGTGTGGTCAAGTTTAGACAAATTGTGGAGACTCTTTTCTAAAAAAATTTGTTTGAGTTATGATAAATATGGAAAAGGAGGTTAAAGGAAGATAGACTATTATGCCATGATGACAAAATATGCTAACTCCAGTGTGAAAAAGAGTTCACTCAGTAATTGCTCTTTTGGGTCAAAATTTGAAACAAAAAATGGAAAAAGATTATTTGAATCAAATTTTGATTTATGTAGAGACATACAGAGTGAGAAAAAGTTCATGAGGCTTAAGAGAGAGAGGCAATAAACAAGAGTACTGAGAAAATACTGAGCACCGATGACAATCAATGAATTGTTGAATGGAACAGAACCTAAACAGAAACACACACACAGTGTGAATTCATAATCGAAAGAAGTAATCAGCTCTACCTATTGTTCTCATCTTTACATAGTATAAGAAACTTTCGAAATAGAAACTTTCCTTAAATGAAAATCTAAAGTTACTTCCTCCTCTGCAAGAGTGGATAGGGAAGGTGTTCTGAGAGTTAATGTGACTCAGGCAATTCCACTTCATCCACTGTCTGTTGGTTTTTCTTCCTCTTCTTTCTTGCCTTCCTTTACTTTCTTTTCTCTCTCGTTTCCTTCTTACCCTCTTTCTTTTTCTCCAATAGAGGTCTTATCGTGTGCCATATCTTATTCTAGGAGCTGGATATGCAGCAAAAATCAAGATAAAATATACCCATGGTCTCTTGGGTCTTGCATTCTGTTGAAGAGAGTCATAAAGTAGACAAATGTACAAGAAACAAATAGCATAATTTCAGATTTTTTAAATGAAGGTAGAATATGGTGATCAGAGAGTGATTGATAGAGGGCATATGCTTCACAACTTTAAGTAATCTGGAAAAGTTACTTTGAGAAGCTAAAAATGAGCTAAGACCTGCAAAATACTCATTAATAAGATGATTATAAATAAAGTTCTTCAGAAGAGAAAATAGCAAATGCAAAAACCTAGGAATGACTTTGTGGGTTTAAGAATATGAGTGTAGCAGGAATACAGTTGGAGAAAAGCAAGTCATTTATCACCTGTGTGTATTCTGTAGTGGGAAAAAAAATAGACCACTGTGGGCAACAGAGATTAATCAGTCATATAGCTTCATAGCAGGACTGAATGGGATGGTTTAAAAGAATTTGAGATGGTTAATGGAAGTATCCTAACAGAGTATGATTTGTAATTCCTTAAATGTACATAATGGAGAATGCTTCCTTCTGGACAAAACTTACATTTTCAATGTGAATTAGATCACAGTCTAAGGACAGCTTATAAAAATTTGATGCCTAAAGTGTTATATTTGCCATCCCAGAAGGAATAGACAGAATAATACTTGTAAAACTTAATTGTTCTCTAGGAAAGGATTCCTTGATGGCAAGTTGATATTTAATTTAGCAAGTTAATTAAGGGATAATTCAGGCTTAGATTAAAAAAAAACTCAATTTGCCATCTAATTCA